GAGGGTCAAAGATGTATAATTAATTTTGAAGTTCAAAAATTTAAAAATTATATTATTTGTAATAAAATAATTAAAAAGGACTTACCCCAATAACCATAACTATTTAAATACTGCGGACACATGTTTCGTTCAGCTCAGTTATTGGGCTAAGTCTTTTTTAGTTATTTTATTATTTCCACGCGACGCTCTCCTTTTATATGTATTATATTATTCGAATTTGGCAAAAATGTTGCATTTTTTGTTATTATATACATAGATATTATAAAGGTATTTATTATTATTTAAATCCTTTATCTAATTAAATCTCTATGTAAATTTGATATCACTTACGCTAATTTTGTTCTACTGAGTTGAAAATACTTAGATATTAGATATTAAATTGTATTTTATTAAATTTATTTATTGCTATTGAATTTCCTCACTATGGTGTCATCTACTAGTACTATTATGTACCATGATTTAAAAAAAGAATATAGTGCGATTTATTCACACGGGTACACCTAGTAACAATTTAATATTACGATTTCGAATATAATTAATAAGTAAAAGATAAAAACAAAAAATTGAAATCTTCAATTTGCAGCCTTTTGAAAAATTGTGCTATTATTATAGTCTGTTTGATTATCTATTTGCGAATATTCAAACGAATATTTTAGTTTATTTAAATTTTACATACAATAGATTTTTGGTAAGGTCATTTTTGCATGTTACGAAATACTCATTTGTTTTTGTTCCGGATAAGTATGTTTTAAATTCTACTCTTTTTGCATTTTAATTTTTTGTGAAAATTAATGTAACAACATAACAGCGTATAATACGTAGATATGTATATGAATGTAAAACAGCATTATAAATAAGCAATTTTTCTTTCTGATTTATATTTTTTGCACTATTTTGATATATCACTGACATCAAAATATGTTGATGGGTTAAATGCATCAATATGTGTATGGAAAACTTGCAAAATTAATTTGCTGTTAGATAAGAAATTAAATAAGTATTTGTAAATAAAATACAAGTAAAAGGTTTTCGAGAAATGTTTTCTATTAATAAGAGTAATTTATCATTTTTCGCGGAAAGTTCTTAATGCATATTGCTGCTTTAAAAATAAATTAATTTGTAATAGATTGTGTAGTAACAAATAGACAAGGACAAAACAGAGACTAGTAGACAGTACTAATCAATAATTTCACTTTGATTATGTTCATATACCTTAAAGAAAAGTATGTTGTAGTACATTGAAAGTGAGTCCCTCCATTTTTATTTAAATTTAAATAAGAAGGGGCTTAACAGGATGTTTATTATATTTTTGCAGCTTCTAAATTAGAAACCATAAAACACTGCTGTGGATTGGGTAAAAACTATGCAGAATCTGGATTAGTGTGTGATACTTTTCAACCACCTATAGCTGGTGTTACGAAAGACGAAGAAAAATTCTGTCTAAGTTCTGTAAAAAGTTGTTGTAAAAAACAATACAGGTACGATGAAACAACCACTTACGTTAAAGTTAGAGCGATTTAATTTTTTTTTTATTTTTTTAAAATTCAACACATCTCGCTCCCCCCAAATTTCACCGAGGGCTTCTCTTTTTACTGTATTAAGTAAAAGTTTTTTAACACGCTAACGAAACTGTAATCTATAACACAAATCGACTTAAGTAAACGATTAATACCATGTAGAGGTAATTCACAACCTCATAGGTCTAGCCCATGGAAAAGTATTGAATAAGTAACCGCCGACAAATGAGTTTTAATTGTCTGCGTTAAAAGCGAGATTATTGAAGAATTAAATTTTAAAAATTCTTTATACTTTTTGGTGATCCAATCGATTTTTTAATTTCCCATAAAAAATGAATCGTAAAAATATTCCTAACTTTTAAAGCTAATAAATACCTAACGAAATGTTATCTTGACGAAAAAATGCAAAAAGATTATTTTAATCGAAAATCTTATGCTCTTTTCAAGGGCCCTATTCACGAGAGGTTTTTTGTTTAAAATATATAGACTTAAATGTCTAGTGAAATATTCTTTCACGTACTTTTCTTCTGAAAAACTAAAAAGTCCGATATCCACCAGTAAATATCAATATTTCAATATTTCCTTCTCATATGTACTTATAACTTCCTTATCAATTTAAAAGAAAAAAAGAAAGAAGAAAGAATATAGTCATTTTATTCCTAGGGTTCATACTAATGAGGTCCAAGGGAACCCTATACTTTTTATATTTATACATTCATTTTCCGCAGTCTTTTTCGCAGTAATTAACATTATTAATTTGTTATTAAAAATTTTAAAAGTTAATAAAAAGTATGATAATGACTAATCTAATACAGTTTTTAAATTCTTTCAATATACTTGGATAAGGGTAACGGTCTAGTAAAATTTTCTAGGGAAAAGCAGTGTCAATTGGGCATAGAAGATGCTCGTAAAAACTCTAATTGCAATTCTGATGGTTCTGATGAAAGAAGGGTGACAATTGAAGTTACTTTATTTAAATATTTTTATTTAAAATATAATTATAGGGTTGCTGTGACTCATGTAAGATAGGGTTAGAGTCTTCAGTTGATACATCAACATGTGATATTGATATTGGCTTAGAACCTTTAATGAATGACGCGTTTAAGAGTTGCTGCGAAAAAAAGTCAAATACAGAGAGTACTTCTACTAGCAGTACTACAACATCCACTACTCCTATTGTAACAACTCAATCTTCTACAACAGAATCAAATCTCGATGAAAATTCACCTGGTCTTCCACGTAAGAGGTCTAGAATTTTTTATGAGTGATACTATTTTATCACAAACGGTCCCGATTTTAGGGTTGGAAGGGGTTTGTGATATTCCCGAAATATGCGCACATCTCTGCATCAAAGAAAAAGATTCTTACAGATGTGATTGTCATAAAGGATACACCTTAATGGCCGATGGGGTATCCTGCAAATTAACTGCGGAAGTAACCGTTAAAAACAGGCCAGTTTTCTATGTTTTTTAAAAGTGCAAGAACAAAATTTGCAATTAATTTACACATTAAACTTGTGACATGCTAAAGTACGCCAAATTATTTCCGAGTTTAATTAAATTTTTAATTTTTAGATGTGCGCTTCATAATCCCTGTGAACACGAATGTTTGGATACAGGTGTGGCAATAAAATGTTTATGTGATGACGGTTTTGAGCTGGCAGGGGATAGAAGGTCATGTAATGGTAAATTAAATATACTGGGGGCATGCCTATTACTTTCGTGCATTTTTCCTTTCTTTTACCTTTTCAGATATTAACGAGTGCACTTTGGGCATCCACGATTGCAGACCAGACGAACGTTGCATCAACACGGAAGGCGAGTATGAGTGTGTGAATTCAAACAGCACTTACCCGTCAGAGAAAACCGATTTCTTGGATAAATGTCCCTCTGGATACATGTTCAATAGCGAAAAAATGGTTTGTGATGGTAGTTAAATTAAAAAAAAAAAAGTAAGAACCCAATTAGGAATGACTAGTAATTACTTCTAGATATTGACGAGTGCGAACTTCAGCTGGTATGTACAGATTCTGCAGTTTGCATTAATACAATTGGATCTTACAAATGCGAAGAAAGCAACTTTCCCAGCTGCCCACCAGGTTTTCAATTCAAAGACTCCATACAAGATTGTGCTGGTATGTTGAATGTTTAGGAACTTTTACAATGATTTTATTCTCGTGTTTATAATGATATTTACCAGTTTCATACATCTAGTAATCGAAATTGAACAAAACGGACCCAATTTTTTTTTAATAGATAGACCCCAAACACTGCTAACAGACAAAAATCCAGCCATGGTTTCATACTCTCAACTAAACTTATACCCAACATAGGCTGGATTTTTTGTTCCTTGGTAATGTTTGGGAAAGATATGGAATTTAAATTTGAATGATAATATATTTAGGTACAGTCGACTCTCGTTAATTCAAACCTTTCTATAATTCGAAGTTATCACAAATTCCCTACAAAATCTCTTTATATTTCGAACTAAATCAATACATTATTATGCACTTGGTAATTCGAACGAAAAAATCATTGCTATGTAACAAAATGACGCGTTAAGTCGAACTCATCGGCGTCAAACACTCTACAATTCAAAGTTTCAGAAAGAAAGAGACAGAAAGATTGTAAGTACACACATACATTTTGAGGCAATTTCAAACATGTATCATCGTATCATCGAGCTTTTGTTTTTGTTATAATTAGTTTGACACACACTTCCGCATGAATTGGTTTGTTATATTTTAGTTATTTTCTCTCAAAAATTTCGAACCATTTGATATTTCAAACACTCGATAATTCGTAATATTTTGAGAGTCCCTCGAGTTTCGAATTAACGAAAGTCGACTGTACTTGTCGAATATTAAATATTCCTTAGATAAATAATAATATTTGCATGAGTGATCTGCATGTAGAGTCTTTTTGATTGATCAAGGAAAGTACAGCAAGTACACGTTTTTCATTGCCCTTTCCAACAATAAATTACTTATCGAGGTTTTCACAACTGATTCTTGCGAATGCGGATATCAAAATTAATGCGGATGTTTGGCGGATGGGGATGCAAATATCCGCAACATTCCTAGGACAGATTCAATTTCTTTTACTTTATTTGATTTTAGATATTGACGAGTGTATAACTGGGGAAAATAATTGTGATCCAAACACACAATTTTGCTTAAACAGTAAAGGAAATTACACGTGCATAGACAAATCTTCAACGAGAGCATGTCCCGCTGGCTTTAAGAAAAATTTAGTTACGCAGTTATGTGAAGATATAAACGAGTGTAGCGAAATTCCGAACGTTTGTGATGAAAATGAAGAATGTGTTAATGAACCTGGTGGTCATGACTGCAAACCAAAAAGTAAAACTACAACATTAGGCACATCCCTAAAAGAAGATAGTAGTTCAACTGTAACAGTAACATCATCTACCACTTTAAAACCAACAAATACCAAGCCGTTTTACAACACACATTATTTTACACCGAAGCCTACAACACCTTTAGAAACTTTTACTAAACCTTCATCTCGACATCAACCAATACCTTCCACTTCCACGCCTAAACATTACGAATGTCCCGAAGGCTACCAATATTCGTTAGAAAAAGGAAATTGTTTTGGTAAGTAAAACAACACTTTCATTGAATGTAGTCTGTTTGGTATTTTCTGAAATTTTATTTCCTGGAATCTTTGAAACATTTTGAACTTATGTAGATAAATATCAACAACATCATTTATCGTAACTCAATAGTTACTCCCTATATTTAAAATGAAAAGAAAAAGCGTTAATTTAAATAAATAATGTTTTTTCAAAATTTAAATCAAAATTACGAATTTAAAGTCAATAATTAATTGTAATTTTGCAATCAAATAAATTTATTGTAGATATAAATGAATGTTTGCAAGATAGTCAGGCCTGTGATAGTAATCAAGATTGTTATAATACACCAGGAAGCTTTGTATGTACTTGTAAAAATGGATTTGAAGAAGACCCATATACAGGAGCTTGTGTAGGTGAGTTTTTTCTCCCTTGTGGAATTCGATCCCCATTTTACACATTTAGGGGTGGTATTTTATATGGATGATACCGTTGTATAGGAATTTAAACGAAACCTTATGTTTTCTGTTTTCGAACATTCTTTGTAGTAAATCAAATTTAGTAACACACACGATCTTGTATTAAAACAGGAAGCAAGTTTTGTTTGAAAAGTTTTTCGATTAAACTTTCAGTTTAGCCGTAATGAGCATATTGCGTACTTTTTGGGTCACTCCGTATACACACATATATATCATACATATCTACAGGGTGTATCACGTTGACCACCCATTAGAATATTTGGGAAGCTACTTCGATTTTAAATTTGTACAATGGCGTTATTGGGTATGCTCTCCTCAATGAAAATAACGGCATCTATGTAGCACTTCCGGTTATACCGGAAATTGACATCAACTTCCGGTATAACTGAAAATGCTACATAGATGCCGTTATTTTAATTAAGGAGAGCATACCCAATAACGCTATTGTACAAATTTTCAAATTTTAAATCAAAGTAGTTTCCGAAATATTCTAACGAGTGTTCACAGTGTGACACCCTGTATATATATTGCTTTAAAATCATAATTGGAACCAGGCGTTTTTCCTTAATTATTTGGCTATGTATTTTTTCTCATAAATCATTAGTATTAAATCCACTCTATTTTTCGAAAAGTTTAAAATAGTTGTGAAATAGTTTTTAATTTATTGACGCCATTAATCCATCTATTTATTATATATTACTTTCGCGTGAAGAGGTCAACAATAAATAGTTGACGAAACGTGGCAAATAAGAATGTGTGTTAATTTTCAAGTTACCCCTTGCAATCATTAATACTTATTAAGTTATAGAATATCCTACTCCAACTTTTAATGTAATAAATTAAGGTTCCATTTTTTTTTTAATAATTAATTCAAATTATTTTTTATTTATACAATTGATAAGGAATTTTTTACTTGATAACAAGCAGAAGTAAGCTTTGTTTTAAAAGTTTTTACTCGTTAAGTACTATTACAGATATAAATGAATGTCAAACTGGCCAAAACGAATGCGGAGAGGGTCAAAGATGTGACAACTCTATTGGATCATACTTTTGCGCTAGGGTGGCTGGATGTGGGACAGGGTACACGTTAAATACCGCAATAGGGCTGTGTGAGGACGATGACGAATGCACTTTAAAAACAGATAACTGTCATAATTTAGGTCCTAGATATGCATGCCGAAATATTCCAGGGTCTTACAGGTGCATACAGAATCCAAGAGTTTACACAGTTATTACCCCTAATACCACTAGTAGTACTCATGCTCCACCTACTACCTCGACTACTGCAAGAACCACCTTATCTTCAAATGTGCCTCCTTCTTTCCCCATAAAATTTTTTGGAGATTCATCTTTGAGCAAACCACCCATTATAAATACATTTACTGTCCCAATTAATAGAAATCCTACGAGGAACGAAGTATTTGCTATTCGACCTATGAAAAAATGTCTTCCTGGATATAAAATGAATGCGCAAGGACAATGTATAGGTAAGTTAAGAACTTTATGCCTACTTAACTCCATTATACATATGTTGTTATAATTGAGACATGAACTAAAAGCGAACAGTCATATAAATTGAGTTCAAAACCTAATACTTTTGTGAACTTATTTCGTGGGTTTAGGATTTTGGGTTTGCACCGAATTATGTTTTCTCTATTAGCATAAAAAATACAGAAATGTTATGTTAAACTTATAAAAGTGGACTTAAACACGAATGTTGTTTCACAAATTTGTATTGCCAAAGTAACTTAAAATGTCATTATCCCAATTATGTTTGTCCCACCAAGAAGTGTAACTGCTAACAGCTACAGACTCCATTCACTTTTTTTGGCGTCGCAGATTGTACCTACTTGCACATACCTATCTATTTTTTGGTTTATTGAAATTTTATACTATTAATCCCTACTTCTACTGAAAACAAAGTAATTTAATATTTACTAGACATTGACGAATGTGAAAGTTCACCTTGTAAGAAGAATGAAAAGTGCATAAACTTGCAAAACGGTTTCCAATGCATTCCAACTATTCACTGTAGGTCAGGATATGAATTAAATGAAGATGGAACAGAATGTGATGGTTTGTATACATATATCTATTTAAAAAATCTGAATGAAATCATAAAAAAAAATCTTTAGACATAAACGAATGTGCTAGGGGTATACATAAATGTAAAAAAAGTCAAATTTGTAAAAATGGTCCTGGTTATTACCTTTGTCAATGTCCAGGAGGTCACAAACTAAATAACCAAAATGAATGCGAGGACATTGATGAATGTGAATTTTATAGAGGGAGGGTAAGTAAAAAATTTTTGTAGGTAATTATAAAACTTAAAAAAAAATCTGTAACAGATTTGTTCAGCTAATGCAATTTGCCAAAATACTGTTGGTTCATACAAATGTATATGCAAACAAGGATTTAAAGAAATCGAAAATGGATGCGAAGATGTAAACGAATGTAACGAAACGCCAAATTTATGTCATCATACCTGCATAAATTTATGGGGAAGCTACAGGTGTGCTTGTGAAAGGGGATTTAGTCTAAATAGTGATAACAGGTGAGAAAACAAATTATATGTATATGCATAAAATCATCAAAAAACTAGTAGAGCTTTGTTGTCCACAATGGTAACATGGTTAACAACTAGTTAAATTGTATCAGATGAACAGATTTATTTCAGCCTGGTGCTGATCCCGTGATGCCAAAAAATCGATATTCTCTAACACATTAAGGCGTTTTTATCTCAAACACCAAGTAAAAAAATATTTTGTGTTTGTTCTAGAACGTGTTCTGATATCGACGAATGTGAGAAATTCAGCGATAGGAAGTTATGTGTCGGAACCTGCCAAAATATACCGGGGAGTTACACATGCAAATGTCCTGACGGTTATAGATTAGGAGCTGATGGTTGGACATGTCAAGGTTACTTTTTATAACGATAGACGTCTTTGTTCGAATCAAATTTGAATAATTTTTGCAGATATTGATGAGTGTGAGCAAAATCCGTGTCCAAATCCAGATGATATCTGTTTTAATGTTAGAGGCGGATTTAAATGTCAAACAATTAAATGTCCATCGCATTATATTAAAGATCCTGAACACAAAAGGTAGTGAGGATTTATTTTTTATAATTCTATTAAACATAAGATCAATGAGAAGTAATACCTAGTACAAATAAACAACGGTGCTTCCCTCCTTTTCTCCCTTCAACTCTGCTTTACCTCACAGCTCCCTCATCCACATGCGTTCACTTTACATAGTTTATTTTTTTTTTTTGTATTACAATTAACTCATTTTATTAGCTTGTAGTTGTTTTTTCTACTCCTTACCCCCTTTCGTGCTACAAGATACTAATTATATATTAAAAATTGTTTTTTTATTATTTTTGTTTGTTTCAGTGTCTCTCCCTCTACGGAGAAAGCTTTTCGCTATTTCGCTCTTCTTTCCCCACCCCTTCCCCTACCTGCTTTCATACTGCTTATTGCAAAAGTGAAACCATTAATTTACTTGTATTTCCCTTTTACAGCAACTTACGATTAAATGATTCTGTTTCAGTCATTGTAGAAGAGCTTCGAACGTTTGCGACATTAACGATTATGCTTGCTTGCAAATGCCAACACAATACTCGTATCATTTCGTCACTTTTGTCTCAAATTTGCCGATATCGTCAAAAGGAACGATCGATTTTTTCCAAATCAAAGGACCTGCTTGGACGAGTTCAACAGCAGATTTTAACATGAACCTCAGGAATATCAGGTGTCCCAGGCATGTTAAAAAAGCTGATGAAAGCTATTTTAAAATGACCAAAAACTATAATAGAGCTATTATCGGAATAGTTAAGCCAATAGAAGGACCTCAAGAAATGGAACTGCAAATACAAATGCAGATTTTTGTTCAAGGCAATTTTCAAGCTAAACTTATATCTACTATTTATATTATTGTCACAGAATATCCATTCTAAGTAAATAATTTAATGTTAGTTATAGTTCTATTTATGTGTGTAATTTTTGATAAGTGCAACTGCGTTTATTACCTAATACATATTTATATAATTTTTCTTGGATTTTATTTTATTATACTTATTATATTTTGATATTTGCAGCTTGTTTAATAAGAGAGAAATTAATTTTAAATTTAAAGAAAAGAAAAAAAAAATTAATCCTACCATTCAATGCAGTGTCGATGACTTCCTACCTTTCTTTAAGTCTGAAGTACAGTCCGAGGTATTCGTCATGTAATGGCTTACACAGGATTTTCTTTCATAGGCAAATTGTTCAGAATGCTGAAACACAAAATATACTGCTTATAGTCAATCTACAATAAATAAAAAAAAAAACATGTATTTCACGACCGTACAAATATATACGATAGTCGCTTTGTACATGTACAAGTACATAGATTAGTAGGATAAATATAAATACAACACAAATGTAATAAACATAAATGTTAACAATTTTTTTAAATTCAAATAGTTTTCATTAATAAAACAGAAAGACAAGAAAGCATTTCTACAAACCTTTATGTTTTATTCAAAAAATTGTAAATTGATTATTAAGTTCATTCTAACTATAACAAAGGAATTCAGAAACCTACTTAGGAAGTATCTGTAACGTTAAATCAAAACTATTAACAGGAATACGAACAATTAAAAGTAGTTCATGTTTAAAAGCTACTTAAAATACTTTCGAATGCTTTGTAACATTTTAAACTCTTGAAAAACCTTTATGTAAGTATGTTTTAAAAGTGTAAAACACACTACTGGTAGTTTAAATAACTACCTTCATAGATACAATGATCAATACGGGTGCGTTCAGAAATGTCATCATTAAAGTAAGTTTCTTAACAGCGTTCAAAAAGACTGGAAATGTTATACGTAAGATGGCCAACAATTAAATGGGCTCAGAAACCTAAGTAATTGTTCCTCGTGGAACTCTACAATATCCATGCTCTGTGAGCCAAATTTTGAAATAAACTCATTTCAAATGCTATAAAATGTAGGTACATATTAGTAAATATTTAACCTCTTTATCTTCATTACTCTCGGAATAATCATCAAAAATAACTTCTAATAAGTTTCATGATAAATTATTAATAATAGCAAGCTCTTCTCTGTCTTGAAAAAGTTAGTATTTCACGGATTACACAGGATCAAAACGGGGTCACGTCACAATTTTTCATGGAGTTATGTCTGAGCGCACCTCAGATGAAAAAGCCACAATAGAGCAAAGGACACTGGAACTACATTTTAATTGTCTATGATTTTAACTGCAGGATTTTGCTAGTTAGAACTATGGTTCAACTATGGTTACAACATCTGTGGTAATCTCTGATCTATGGTTAGAACACTTTAACTGACTACAATTGTCTATGGACTACAATTACAAGTTATAGGCGGTTATTTTTGTTAGTAAAATATAAGCAGTACCAAGTAATCTGAAAAACTCTTAAAAAGAAATGAAATATAATGTAAAAAGCAGAAAGTGAGATTCGGTAATCATGGGTATCGACAATAACAATATCCATGCAGTGAATATATCTTAAAAATTGTGTTAAACTTTTTTTAATTATTGTTCCAATCTAATATTAACAATTGCAAGTATTTAATATGAACACAATCACTTTATTCTTTTTGGTTTCTTTTATGAGCGTAGGGCAAAATAAGAAGATTAACGGTAACTTAAGCCTTTTACAAATTGTAAGTATTTAAAATCAATATACGATATACACAATAATACAAATTAATCCTATAATCAGTTGTTTAGGCATGGGGAACGATCACCGACAGAAACTTATAACAATGATCCCTACAAGAATTATGATTGGCCAGGGGGATTAGGATTCTTAACTAACGTATGACTTTTTACATTATTTACAATTATAAAATGTTACAAAGTTTAAGTAAATAATCCTAAACTAATTTGATCAGTATGATTTATATTGCCCTAATTGTTAGGTACCTATAGGAATACAAGACCTTAGCAAGTTATTTAAGATTATATTGATTTTTGTAAATAAAGTTAAATTTAAAGATTCTTATAAACTATAATTTTTGCTTATATAATGTAGTTTTTGGTTAAATAAATAAAAACGTGGCACAGCAACTATTTTGAAGACTAAAAAATAAAATTCAAATAGTAAACAAATTTTTTTGTTATTTATGTTTGAGTAACAAAGGATAAATTGATTAACTGTATATTTTTAATAGCGTGGTAAAATGCAAATGTATACACTAGGACAACAACTTCGAGAACGTTATTCTGATTATCTGCCTGAGTATTATTTGCCTGAAGAGGTCTTAACTTACAGCAGTTACTCAGATAGGTGTCTTATAAGTGCTGAACTGTTATTGGCCGGGTTGTACCCACCAGTGGGGCAGCAAATTTGGAATCCTGATCTTTTATGGCAACCTATACCTGTACATTACAATCCTAGAAACCTAGATAACGTAATAATTATTTAAATATATCTAGTTAAAAAGATTGTTAATTTACTACTACTATAGATAATAGCCATGAAACAGCCCTGTAAAAAATATAAGGAAGCCTTTAATGAGATTTCAGCTGTTAGATTAAACGAGAGCATTAAAAAATATCCAGATATCTATCGGTATCTTACAGAACACACAGGCAGTGAAATTAAAACCATTGGAGACATCGAGTTTTTATACAGTACGTTAGAAATAGAAGATTTAAATAATTTAACATTGCCTAATTGGACGAAAAGATATTATCCTGAACCAATGAAAACACTTACAGCAGAATCCTTAGCTTTATACTCATATACGCCACTATTAAAGAGACTGTCTGGAGGTATGTTTAGAATCCGATATTTATTAAGGGAAACATATAAGGACAATAAAATAATAGAAATCATTTCTTCAATTTTTATCAGTCAATCGTGTAATATGATTGATGAAACTAATAGAAGCGCTTAAAAATAATGGAAAAGTCCTATCATTCTATCGATTTAACTTTTTGAATAACGCGTTGCTTATTTGTTTTGTTAATAAAAATTGTTTCTTGAAATTCTGTTAGGTTTTATGCACTAAATGATATTTTTTTTTCGAGTTTGTGAGCCGTGGTTTAATGACTATTGATTGCGTTACTTCTTTTCTTGGTTGCTGTCGATTGCTAGCATCCAAGAAAAGAACTACATGAGATAGAAAACACCTTCTAAATCTCTGAAGATGTCAACTTAGGCGTTGACAAAACATCAGGCAATCAACTAGCCGTTAGACCACAACCAACAAACCCGAAAGAAAGTTATCATTCAGTGCAAAATTGTTCCTTACTTTATTTTAGGAGTTTTCTTGAAGAATGTTACAGACAATATGCTGCAAAAAGTAGAAAACAATACTACAAATAAACTAATATTATTCTCTGGACACGATTTAACTGTTGTAAATGTTATGCGTTCATTGGGTTTAGATGAACTTCTCAAACCAGAATTTGCAGCAACGATCATTTTTGAACTACATAAGGAACGCGAAGTTAAAGTGAGTGCTGTTGCTTTATTTAAATAATTTGAAAAATGAACATTATTTTACAGGTTTTGTATAAGAAAAATGTGAATGACGATTTTAATGAAATGTCTATTCCTGGATGCCAAAGCTCTTGTGAATTAAGTAATCTTGTAAAAGTATTAGATCCCGTCTTACCAAAAAATTGGAATGAGGAATGCATAAAAAATGTGATAGTTTAATCTTTATTTTTAGGTATGTGTTATTATTATTTCAATAAAGAAATATGAGGCGTATTTATGATTAAGTAGAGTATTAACTTGTTAAAAATAAACAATATAAATTTACATGAATTTTTAACGTCACAAATTATTATTCAGATTGTTGCTTCTGTGTAGACAGTGTTATTTAAATCTTTATAATAAATGTGAAACCAAAATTGGTACATAGTGTTAACAGAAAGTTTGACCGAAAAATTTAAAAAATATACATCCTAAGGCCATCTAATGGCTAGAAGCAGAAAGACTAGTTAACATAGAAATCACATCTATAACGTCTACAATCTATGATAACAGAAGATAGTATAGAAGTCTAATTTAACTATAAATGAAATGATTCAGAAACTCTATAAAGAAAAAAGAGATGGCATTGTACTGGTGGCGGTCCGTTTATCTTATTAGCTCAGTTGTATACACGGCCATTTTTCAGAATGGAAAAATTACTGTTACCCTCGTTCTAATTGTACCCCACTGAAATACATTAGACGAAAGGAAAATATAGAAGTTTTACCATCATCTTGAATTAGTGGCCTCGTAAACAAATGCATTCCAAGGAAACTACAGAAAAACTTGGACCAAGGTAGACGGTACCAGAATCGAACCAGCGTCCTCTCGAATGCTAAACAATGGTCTAACCTCTAGGCCATAGATAATAACTATGCAATGCCACTTGTTCATGATGTACTATATATCTCTGATTTATGAATGTTTACGATTACCTTATGTATATCTATTATCTATGGATTATTTTAATATGGTACCCTTTGTGTATCTATTATTTATGATCTATTATCTATGATGGTAATCTATGGGGCAAGTCGTCTGTTTTACGTGATTCTAGTTTAATTAATTCATCTAATTTATTTTATCAAATAAAAAACATATTGAATATAATATTAAAGCATTGTTTTAGTTTTAATGACTTACCATTAACTGTAAGTAGACGTGAGAAAAAAAGTAACACTATGTTGTTTTTTTGTTATTTAGTACTTAACCTTAAAATACATCTGCAGTAATGTATGTGTTTTAGAAAATGCAAGCCTATCCTTCATTTACTCCAACCCCAGGAGGAATGCCACCAGAAGTTTCAAATTGGTTTAACACAGTAGACAGAGATAGAGATGGTAAAATAAATGCTGATGAGCTGAAGTCTGTACTTGTAAATGCCCAAGGCAAACACTTCTCAGATGCTTGTTGTCGGTTAATGGTTAATATGTTTGATGCTGATTTGAATGGAACAATTAATGAAAGTGAATTCGGACAACTGTATATATATATTAATCAATGGTTATCGGTGTTTCGTACTTATGATAGAAATCAGTCTGGTCATATAGATGAACAAGAATTATCACAAGGTAAACTAAATAAATAAGTTTTAGTTTATTTGTTAATTATTAAAATTTAAATTAATTTTACAGCACTGCAACAAATGGGATTTAGATTCACTCCTGATTTCGTAAAATACTTGATAACTAGAGCTGATGTAGAAAAGAAGAACAATATAGACGTTGATCAATTTATGGTTCTTTGTGTACAACTACAAAGATTTACAGAATCCTTTCGACAGAGAGATGTGGAAGGTAAAGGGGAAATTCAAATTGGTTTTGAAGAGTTTCTTCGTGTAGCACTCGAAGTCTCATTGTAATAAATTTTGTAAAATAGTTTGGTGACAGAATGAATTACAACTGAAGAGTGCATGTTATAATTTATTGTTATGTTTGTGTAGATGTGGTACTGATTGAGTTTTATTTGCTGTAACTTCTTTTTTACTAAATATGATTAAAAGATCTGATGGGCACATTAATATATGAATTTACATTTTTTGCATTTATTTTCATTTTTATCTATTTTACAAATTTGTAAATTTAGTAAATAAAAACCTGCTAGGTTGGTAAAAATAAATTTAATGCATAAATATTTATAATGGTTAATGTATAATATATCAAGCATTTAACACAAATGTGGGTGTGTAAACATGTATGTACAATAAAATATAAAAATATTGCATATATAATAATAATAATAATATTAATAGTGAAATATTCGACACTATTAGCAGTCAGCGTTAGCTAAACTGGAAGAAGGAGATTTTTCAGAGTTAAACTTGGAATCGCTGTTACAAATATATTTGCCAGAAATAAACCTTCGTTTTACTAAAGAGAGGCGATAACCAGTTCCTATTAATTGAAAATCTATACCGGAGAGTGTAGTTCCTTCACAATTGAACTGTGCAGAAATTACTGGAGGTGTTCCAGGCCCTTTCTCTAATTCAATTCTTGCTCGTAGAGACCCCACTCCATTATTTTCCGAATGTTGTGACAATTCCGCAAATTTCCAAATTAAACAACTTTGTTCTGAATTCCTTAAAGTTAAATTTAAATATAGTTTATTCAATTTTACTTTATAAAAAGAAACTCACCACTGTGCAACAGGTTTTGTGTGAAAATTTTTTACGCCACCACTTAAAGGAACCGCCACCATTAAATTGAGAAGTGGTAGAGCAGAATTCACAGCTCTAGAATTGTATTTATAATCAATTTTAAGATTCGACTGTGTAAGGTCACATTTCCAATAGGCCACTAATTGAAATGGGCAGGAATTCGCACCTGGCTTAGGCTTTATCTAAAATATATCACATGTTAATGGTTTGAACATTATAGCAAAATTTAAAGAAATACTTGATATTTTAAAATTTCCACATTAAAATACGAAGCATTTGGGTTCTGCTCTGACTGGCTTTTCAGTAAACTACTTAATGCAGGCATATTAAATTCTATATATAAATTGTCTGTGCTGGATTGAGTGTTATCTCTACAAAAGAAAATCGAGAAACATGAAATAAAATTTTTGAAATGAATATTGCATACTTACAAAGAAACTAATTTTTTATTGGGTAAAATATTACTTAGTTTTTGAGTATTACGAACTTGAAACGCAAGTTTAGCTGGGTTTGGATTGTTTGCGAGTACAATAACTATTCCTGCAGGAAACGACAGCATCATCTCACCTGACATCTTTACTTGACACCTAAGAAAAAAGAACCCGTGTAAAATGTTCCATATAACAGGAATAAATAAACAATAGAAGTCTACACACTTAGTTTCGTCGCTCCCTCTAAAGAATGAATGAATAATTTCATGAAAGGCTACAGCGAGAGGAATAGTATCAGCCATACCAATGGTTAGCGGAGAGGGACCTCTAGACACATTTACTGACGATATACCAGCAGTTCGGAACTCTAAACTTCCTAAACTATCGGCACGTGAAATGGTTGAAGATGTTGAAAGTATTCTAGAACTAGCCTCGGATCTCCTTGACGGGGGTCTAGGAATTGAAATAATGCCCGAAGTTGGTGTAGGTGTATGACGACTAATTTTTGAAGACTGAAGTTGGCTTTCGCTTGCACTGCCCCCTCCGCCCTCGTTAAATAAATCTTTCAAATCTACAAAACGTTTATCATTCGTTGCTTTTAAAATAATAAAAAAAAGAATAAAAAACAAATACCAGAATATCTTGATGATGAAGTAAAAGTGGGAGAATTGAAATTGGGTTGCGATGGACTTTGCAGCGGAGCATAAGGATGTGAACTACCAGGCGTTGATGCATTTGATGCATTCTGACTCTGAAACAAATTAATGCCAAGCAAATCGCTGCTTGTAGGTTTTCCCAATTGCTGCGATACTGATTGTGAACGTTTTATAACATTTTGTTCGTCACTATTCGAATTACGTCTAATGTTTGATGACGGTGACAAATATAAATTTTCTACTGTTGCTCGAAGTTCATCCACTGATGCGGACATTGGGGCAGCACCATTATTTAACGGTTTTATTTCCACTCTTATCTTTTGTTCTCTTTCGTCTTCTGCAATTTTTAATTTAATCTAAATGCAATAAACCAAATACGTCAAATAGGGTTACCGGAATCGGAATCAGAACTAGAATAAAAATTTCCCTTGTCATTCATCCAATTAGGAACAGGATTTTCGAGAATTGTATTGCTTTCTTCTTCAGCTTGTGCTGACGACTTCTCAGAGTCTACTTCTGTTAGTTTTTCTATACCCTTTTTTGATGGCGCTTCTTCCTTCTCTTCACTATATACATACATATTTTATATTATACAGAACATATATTTCTATATTTCGTGTTTTTGCAAAGCGTTATTTGATACAGAAACGATTGTTTATTCATTAAATTTAAAGTATAAAAAAAAACTTACATGTCAGACCGTTCTTCTTTATTGTCCGAGTTTTCTCTTTTTTTCTTGGTTTTCTTCTGTTTTGCTTTATCACGCCTACTCCTTAAAAACCCTACAACATAAATCAAACACTGGTGAAGTGGTAGGAAATTTAAACATTACACTATATTATATAAAGTTTAAGAATAATTATTTATCTATCAAATAAATTATTCTTATACCATATACTGTAAACATTAAAACTGTTAAATCATAATTAGGAATAAAATATGTAATTGGAAAGTTGAAGGCGGCTTAAAGTAAATAGTAACATTATTATACATCTAAAGCGGAAAGGAACAGAATAGGTGAGGAGCGATAAAAAATTAAATATTACTGAATATATGAGTGTGCATTAATGGCAAGTGCCAACACAGCCAATAGGAAATTCATATAATGAGGAAAATTAAAATTGTTAATTTACATACACGAGAAACACTCACACGGGACATCTATTTGAAGATCCTTCATACGACGATTGTCAAAATATTACAGAGATCACTTACTCAGAAACAAGGAAATATTACTACATGTAAACTAGAAGATACTGAACGGCCGTTTATCAGAATTCAGAAATAAAACATTTTGCCTTTAATAGTGCATTGGCACTTATTTGTTATTGTATTAATTAATTTCGTTGCAGTTGTAGATAATGTGAAATAAAAGCTACGTTTTGATAATGGATCCGACTAATTTTCAAAATAAGATTTCATTAGTACACAACTACTGATATCTATTAATAATAGAAACAGAAAAAAATGAAGACATAAGGAATAAAACACTAAGGAACACCAAATAACAGAAGAAAAAAGAGTACATTAAAGTGCAATGAGCCAATAACTAGTTACCTAACTAAATGATCGTGATAAAAATTATGTAGAAATGTGTATAAAAACAGTAGGGAATGGAAAATGTAACAAATTAAAATGGGTCTACAAAGAGCCGATGCCACCGCAACATGCACCATACAGCTTAAGAGAGAATTATTACACTTGGATCCTCGTTGTACGCGGTTAGATAACTGCTGGTTTTCAGTGGGATTCGTAGGGCTGGATGGAGCACTGCAGGGCCCTGTTCGGCCTTCTCGTAATCCTGAAATGTGGCCCCAAGCCCGGGTTAAAAGCAGCTACAAAAAGCATCTTAGTATCACGTACCCTGAGAATTAGACATGAACAAATTTAGGAGGGAGGTTGTACGGCGGGATGTTTTGGCATGTGTTGGCATAGCTTGAGCCATTAGAATGCCGCTTTCATGCTGATTACCTTCTCGTTTCGAAGGCTTCGTCGTCTCGTTAGTACTCCCTTCTTGAGTTGGAGATGACACTGGTTCCACCATATCAACCAAACCTTAACAAAAACCATATACATTTCATTTAGAAATAATACTACTTAATTGGATATGTCCTATGATGGGATTCCCATCTAAAGGTAGTTTCCTGCTGGTTTTATTTACATATAAAATAAAACATACCTTCAAGAAGTAATAGCAGTTAAAAGCAGAATAAAATTTTAAATTACCTGGCTTTTCTAATCCTGTATACTTGCTTAGTACAAACTGCTCTAACAAACGATCCACTGTTAGTTCTAAACATTGTCTTTTAAACTCAACGTGCACTTGCCCAATTTTTTCATGAGTCCATTGAACAACTTGAGAATAAGAATTAAGGAATTCCTTCATTTGTGTAAGATGTGCTACTTCTAAATCTTGAAAATGATTACAAGTTACTGACATCTTTTGTTCAAAGTCTTCCTTTACTGAATTATATTTTTCAATATAAAGTCTATAATCTTCTTGTGCTTTCTTTAGTTTTGCCTCTGCTTTTTCAATTTCTTTAGAAGATGTATTTTCTTTCCTTAATCTTTCTAATTCTATGCCACGTTGAGAATACACATCTTTTGCTTTTTGTACTAATAACGTTGTATTTTGAATAGCTTGAACAGCCTCCAATGTTCCAGATTCATCTTCCTTTACCTTTCATTAAATTCATAAAAGTAATCAAACATGAAATATCTTAATGAAATGTTCATCAAACTTACTGCTTTGTGTTTTTTATGTAAATCTTCAGCATATTTATTTATTTCTTTCACTAGCTCAGTTACTGTATGTACAGTTTCTAGGTGAACACTTGATAGTTTTTCTGATGATGTTTTCAATACTTGCCACAAAGGAGCAAATGTACCATGCATGCATGAACTACCTGCTTGTTTTGCTAACTTGTTAAATAATTTTGAATTATTTTCTTCAATGTTTGACCTTTTGATTAGAAAATACCGAGTAAATTTATAAATATTACAAAAGTAAAAAGTTCACCTTTCCCTAAAGAAATCCGCAAGTTCTTTACTAGCCACTAAACCATATTTCATGTTATGGTATAAAACATCAAATCCATTATTTTTCTCACCCTGAAAGTAAGATTCCATGTCAGAATAGATCTATGTACATTAAAATAAATATTTTTATTACACAAGTATATAAAAAAACAGTACAAGAGAACATCCACAATTTATTTTACAAATTTAAAGGCAAATTTTCATGTTAGTCTTACCCAGAAATAATCATTAAAGTCAACAGTCATTTTTGTATGTTAAGAATTATTAGAGCTTCTTTAAACTGCAATGTATGTACATATGTACTTGGAATCTTATTTATAAACCGTAAATGTACATCACATACAGTCGTATTATCCTTACAAATAATCTTTAAAAATTAAAACAAGAGGCGTTAACTGGTCAACTAGCATCACTTAGTATAGCAACAAAATAAACGAACAATAATGTCATCATTTGCTAACGATCATAATAATAGCTAACCAGCAGCGTTGCCACACTGCGTTTTTTCTGATATTTTGTTTTTCAATATAAATATCTTTTTTAAAAGTGTTGCAATAAATGTTATAGTTTTTTAAAAATCTAAAATTTACCAGCAAATCTGTAAACTCTGATGAAAGTTTTTATGAACATAAATTAAAAAAAAAATGAATATGTAAAAAGAACACTAACAAGGCGTTGTAAGCGTTAAGATTTATAATTAGGCAGATAATTTTATGATTATTGTACGATTAATGTATTATTATTACCATAATAATAATAATAATGAAACTCTATAAAGAAAAAAGAGATGGCATTGTACTGGTGGCGGTCCGTTTATCTTATTAGCTCAGGAAAAACTCTTAAAAAGAAATGAAATATAATGTAAAAAGCAGAAAGTGAGATTCGGTAATCATGGGTATCGACAATAACAATATCCATGCAGTGAATATATCTTAAAAATTGTGTTAAACTTTTTTTAATTATTGTTCCAATCTAATATTAACAATTGCAAGTATTTAATATGAACACAATCACTTTATTCTTTTTGGTTTCTTTTATGAGCGTAGGGCAAAATAAGAAGATTAACGGTAACTTAAGCCTTTTACAAATTGTAAGTATTTAAAATCAATATACGATATACACAATAATACAAATTAATCCTATAATCAGTTGTTTAGGCATGGGGAACGATCACCGACAGAAACTTATAACAATGATCCCTACAAGAATTATGATTGGCCAGGGGGATTAGGATTCTTAACTAACGTATGACTTTTTACATTATTTACAATTATAAAATGTTACAAAGTTTAAGTAAATAATCCTAAACTAATTTGATCAGTATGATTTATATTGCCCTAATTGTTAGGTACCTATAGGAATACAAGACCTTAGCAAGTTATTTAAGATTATATTGATTTTTGTAAATAAAGTTAAATTTAAAGATTCTTATAAACTATAATTTTTGCTTATATAATGTAGTTTTTGGTTAAATAAATAAAAACGTGGCACAGCAACTATTTTGAAGACTAAAAAATAAAATTCAAATAGTAAACAAATTTTTTTGTTATTTATGTTTGAGTAACAAAGGATAAATTGATTAACTGTATATTTTTAATAGCGTGGTAAAATGCAAATGTATACACTAGGACAACAACTTCGAGAACGTTATTCTGATTATCTGCCTGAGTATTATTTGCCTGAAGAGGTCTTAACTTACAGCAGTTACTCAGATAGGTGTCTTATAAGTGCTGAACTGTTATTGGCCGGGTTGTACCCACCAGTGGGGCAGCAAATTTGGAATCCTGATCTTTTATGGCAACCTATACCTGTACATTACAATCCTAGAAACCTAGATAACGTAATAATTATTTAAATATATCTAGTTAAAAAGATTGTTAATTTACTACTACTATAGATAATAGCCATGAAACAGCCCTGTAAAAAATATAAGGAAGCCTTTAATGAGATTTCAGCTGTTAGATTAAACGAGAGCATTAAAAAATATCCAGATATCTATCGGTATCTTACAGAACACACAGGCAGTGAAATTAAAACCATTGGAGACATCGAGTTTTTATACAGTACGTTAGAAATAGAAGATTTAAATAATTTAACATTGCCTAATTGGACGAAAAGATATTATCCTGAACCAATGAAAACACTTACAGCAGAATCCTTAGCTTTATACTCATATACGCCACTATTAAAGAGACTGTCTGGAGGTATGTTTAGAATCCGATATTTATTAAGGGAAACATATAAGGACAATAAAATAATAGAAATCATTTCTTCAATTTTTATCAGTCAATCGTGTAATATGATTGATGAAACTAATAGAAGCGCTTAAAAATAATGGAAAAGTCCTATCATTCTATCGATTTAACTTTTTGAATAACGCGTTGCTTATTTGTTTTGTTAATAAAAATTGTTTCTTGAAATTCTGTTAGGTTTTATGCACTAAATGATATTTTTTTTTCGAGTTTGTGAGCCGTGGTTTAATGACTATTGATTGCGTTACTTCTTTTCTTGGTTGCTGTCGATTGCTAGCATCCAAGAAAAGAACTACATGAGATAGAAAACACCTTCTAAATCTCTGAAGATGTCAACTTAGGCGTTGACAAAACATCAGGCAATCAACTAGCCGTTAGACCACAACCAACAAACCCGAAAGAAAGTTATCATTCAGTGCAAAATTGTTCCTTACTTTATTTTAGGAGTTTTCTTGAAGAATGTTACAGACAATATGCTGCAAAAAGTAGAAAACAATACTACAAATAAACTAATATTATTCTCTGGACACGATTTAACTGTTGTAAATGTTATGCGTTCATTGGGTTTAGATGAACTTCTCAAACCAGAATTTGCAGCAACGATCATTTTTGAACTACATAAGGAACGCGAAGTTAAAGTGAGTGCTGTTGCTTTATTTAAATAATTTGAAAAATGAACATTATTTTACAGGTTTTGTATAAGAAAAATGTGAATGACGATTTTAATGAAATGTCTATTCCTGGATGCCAAAGCTCTTGTGAATTAAGTAATCTTGTAAAAGTATTAGATCCCGTCTTACCAAAAAATTGGAATGAGGAATGCATAAAAAATGTGATAGTTTAATCTTTATTTTTAGGTATGTGTTATTATTATTTCAATAAAGAAATATGAGGCGTATTTATGATTAAGTAGAGTATTAACTTGTTAAAAATAAACAATATAAATTTACATGAATTTTTAACGTCACAAATTATTATTCAGATTGTTGCTTCTGTGTAGACAGTGTTATTTAAATCTTTATAATAAATGTGAAACCAAAATTGGTACATAGTGTTAACAGAAAGTTTGACCGAAAAATTTAAAAAATATACATCCTAAGGCCATCTAATGGCTAGAAGCAGAAAGACTAGTTAACATAGAAATCACATCTATAACGTCTACAATCTATGATAACAGAAGATAGTATAGAAGTCTAATTTAACTATAAATGAAATGATTCAGAAACTCTATAAAGAAAAAAGAGATGGCATTGTACTGGTGGCGGTCCGTTTATCTTATTAGCTCAGTTGTATACACGGCCATTTTTCAGAATGGAAAAATTACTGTTACCCTCGTTCTAATTGTACCCCACTGAAATACATTAGACGAAAGGAAAATATAGAAGTTTTACCATCATCTTGAATTAGTGGCCTCGTAAACAAATGCATTCCAAGGAAACTACAGAAAAACTTGGACCAAGGTAGACGGTACCAGAATCGAACCAGCGTCCTCTCGAATGCTAAACAATGGTCTAACCTCTAGGCCATAGATAATAACTATGCAATGCCACTTGTTCATGATGTACTATATATCTCTGATTTATGAATGTTTACGATTACCTTATGTATATCTATTATCTATGGATTATTTTAATATGGTACCCTTTGTGTATCTATTATTTATGATCTCATACCTATCT